CGTACGTCGTCTCTCTCTCTCTCTCTCTCTCTCTCTCTCTCTCTCTCTCTCTCTCTCTCTCCCTCTCCCTCTCTCTCTTTCTTTCTTTCGCGCGACCAGAGCTTTCTAGCCAGATATTAATGGTAACGCCGGATGCTCGGAATAACGAAGACACAAAGTGCAGTATTCAGCGCTGACAGTTACTCGATTATACGACGCATACCGTGTTAGCGTATCATCGATCACTTCATCGACAGCGGCATCTGGAATATGCGATACATTTGACGTGAAATAAATAGCTTGATAAATGCGTGTAGCCATATTATTTTTACAGCGACGACGTCAATATTTTCATCGGGATTCACGGACATTTCTACAAAAATTTCACTTCGCATTTGACTATCTCTAGAATAACAGTCGCGCGACGTCTTATCAAACACGGAGAAATAGATTCGCCGGGTTATCGGATATGTAGTAGGTTTACGGTAAATTACATGACGAGCGATAGCATTAATATTGGTACGTATTACCGACTATTAACGCCGAATGGATCGGCGTAATTACGCAGGCCTCCCATGCAGACGCTGCCTGAGCAGACGCTGGGCTCGTACCACTGCGTCGTATGTGAGCCAGTAGTAAGCGGAGCGCCACACATCAGACATCCGATACAGGGTGTCGCGTCGGATTATCACATCCGATTTCACGACGGCAGTATAATCGCATTTCCCCGCGACATTCGCTAATTTCATGAATTCTACGTTTTCGAAGTTTCCACAACTAGTCGGGAAATGCATGCGCGACCTTTCGCTTCAGTATATGCACTTTGCACAAAATGTCTTTTATGTTTATTTTATTGCATTCATTTACGATATTATTCTTGTAAATATTATTCCGAATTTTAATATGTGTAGAATTAGTATTGCTGTGCAAACGGCAGTGTTTAACCAGCTTTGTTATCTTCTGCTTTCAGGTGCCATTTTTGAGCAAGGCACCGACGAAGTACAATCCGCCTTCAAGTTCGCGATGATGAACCACAACCAGAATATTACGACCCGCAAGTTTGAGCTGCAAGCCTTCGTGGATGTAATTAATACCGCGGATGCCTACAAGCTCTCCCGCCTCAGTGAGTATTCTCCTTCTATACAAAATCGTTATTTAACTCACGTATCGCGCCGCGTGTAACATTCTTCTTCAGGAGAATTGGAGAGATCCGCACACGTCGACGACGTACTCGGGAAACTGAATAATAGACATTCGCACAGAGGCCGTTAAATATTTCATAGACATCTTCAAACGTCGATCGTCGCCTCGCTTGCGTCTCGCCGGTCGTTTTGAAATCGAGTGAATCGAATTCCATCGCGAATATTCCCCCGGACTGTACCGACAATTTTTCACAACTACATTTAAAGTGTCTGAAACGTCTGTAGCGCGGAATTTCGTTTCTGTCTCACGAGGGTGGAAATCGATTTCGCGTTTTGTTCGCGATATCTGCACCGGTGTCAGGCACGGTGACTTATCAACAATGCTGAGGCGCGTATGTGCCGGAAGCGTGACATCTCCGCGCCATTGAATACGCCGCGGCGGTCTGTGTCGGATATGAAATAAGTAACGTTTCGTTTCTATAGCGCCACAGATACTAATCTCGCCACCTCGGAGGCGAAACGCTTCCATTTTCCGGCGGTGTGAGGCACGTGCGAACGATAGAGAGAGCCGAAGTCTTGCTTCGCGATCGCTTGCTTCCTGAGAAAGCGCGCTCCTCGCACAAGTCGGTCGAATTAGTATCGATGGGTCAGTTTTCGTGGGTCAGTTGCGGGGCTCACTTGTAGCGACAGAAATATAAATTGCGGAATACATTTTTTATTTAATTCCCTCCGAGGTTTCGAGACTACTCGTAAAATCCCTTCCGATAACATAGAGATTTTGTGGAATACGAATTCAACCGGGTTCGTTGATCGGTCGCAATTTTGTGATTAAACTCTGTTCAATCATGCGATTAAGTTAGTGGAATTGTCTCATTGTTATGTTACTACGTGATTCGACATTCGCTTGCTCTCAATGGTGCCATCCAGCACTCAATGGTGTGAGAAGTTCCGGAATTATCCGAAGAGCCATTACATGTCACTTATCCTGATTTACGTTGAAGTGTAGCAGGCGTGAATTTTCACGATAAAAGTTATCACGGACAACATTCGTAATGAAGATATAATGCGTATCATTTTTCTTAACATTGCAAGATACTCAATTCTGTCGTTCCACTAATATTTACCAAATTTGTAGTTATCATCATAATTGAGAATCATCATAATAATACAAACAAGTATCGTAAATTATTTATAGATAATTTGATCAAATAGATTTTGTTTCTCGGATACCTTTGCCATAGATTGTGTTACATGTCGCTTCGAAGTCCTCGCTTGCGACTGCCCTCAAATTATCCGGAAACTCTTTCCCTTCGAAATTCATTGCTGTAGTTTCTCACTTTGTCACTTGTCTCATATATCCGAAATTCGAAAGAGGTGATCGACCGGCTTACCCCGAAACCGTTTGATGGCTTTTAACCAAGGGGCGTCGGTCCAATCGAGCTACATCGGTCTCCAGCTTTGAAGTTGTTCGGAATCCGTTCTGAACCGTAAGCGGGTAGAAAGACAAAGGGCACTCGGGTGCCAAAGATATCGGTGTCTCCTATCATCGGCGAATTCGCAGTTATTGCGCCGCACTACAAAGAGATTTTACGATTGTAAGGCGACGCGTTTGAACTCGTTCGGTGCAAACGCACGTTTATATATATACACTCGTATATATATCCTCAACAAATTGACGAAACCACAATATATCTTACGCATAATATTCTTCCATTTTTTTGCAAACACGGAGGAGATTGCGATAAAATCGGATTTTGGCTAATTTTTTATTTACGATAATAATTCAAATATAATGCAAAGATAAATTAGTATTCCCTCCGCCGTGCTTATGACAGCAATGTGGTAAGCGTTGCGATTCTATTAACCCAAGAATTCGTGAACAGAATTCACCGACAAGTTGCTTCATCACGGATTCGTCGCAGCAATGCGAATATTTGGGCCAAGTCCAAGGGGCAGGGAGGCCGTGTTACGGTACTTAGGAAAGCTCCGTTAATTGTATTAACGTTGGTCGGTTCACCCGGATCAAGACCCTGTTATAATCCTACAGTGAGACTGCTTTCTGCCCGGCAAATCCATTGTCAAGTTGCGTCCCACTTAATGTTTTGGTTCGCTAAGACGATGGGAGTGGCTTTTCCTTTAGCAAACTATGGTGAAAAAAAAAAAAAATTCTTTTTTCCACAATGTTTACAACATTATCTGTGCTTGATATCCACATTATTGGGAGCAATAAAATCCCGCAAGTTGATTGAATGCGTTAATTGCGTAATAATATCTATAAAATAATAATATAATAATTAGGTTGCAGAAATTTGGAATTAATATATTGGAAAGTTCTCCGATAGTATCCACGCGAATATGATCAAAGAGATTTACATTTAATACATTTGATATTCGTTGGATGAATCGACGGTTATTAATTATCCGTCATGCGTGGCACGAGTTACTGAATAGCAAATGTCATTGCAGAATGAAGCAGGATAAAGAGAGCTCTGAAAAAAAAAAAAAAAAAAAAACGGTAACTAGAAAAAAAAGAGCGATCTACCGCACATAGTATTACCGTAAAAGACTCCCCATATATTCTTTCCTTTTTCATAACATTTATTCAATTTTAAGCAGACATGATGGAACTATAGCTTTGCCTAGGAAATAACGGACAGCGAAAATTATTATGAAACTGGACCATCTCCCTTCACCACGCGCAGGCACACGTATCTTCATTTCAATACACTTCATTCATATTCGTCACGCATTACGTGCGAAGCCCGATAAAAAAGAAAGGCGTCGAGTGAAGCAGGCGCCATCAGAAAAACGGAATATTCCATATATAACATCACTTTCTATCCATATCGAAACGCACGCACGGGGATATCAATAATTTCTTATTGTAACGCAAGGCGCGAACACCGCGAAATATCAAGCGGATGCAGAACGAATTCGTGGGATAAGTCTAAAATATCGAAGAGAGAGAATATCGTTAGATAAATCTGCTCTTTAATATTTTCAATAACGTTCCCTCCGAAGTTATCGCGCACGAGAAGTTGGTCCCCGACGGGATTTCGGAAGGGTCGTCATCGCGGGAACCGAAAATTATTGCGGATGACGACGACGACGTAACGCCGGGCGGGGAAGTTTTTTCCGTTGAGAAATCACATGGGGTAGAAGCGAGAATCCTGAGGGAGAGAATTTTCGCGGCGTGGGTACGCTCGTCTTAGCGGAACGTAATAGCCATCTATCAACTTTCGGTGCATATCGTATAATATCCTGCAAGATCCTTTGGCCCACGGGGGGCAGGGAGGTGAAGAGTAACATCCCGTCGCCCCGCGTGTTCATCCTCTCGCCGGAGAGAGGGATGAATGTATACGGGGCGCCGGCGAGCCAACCAGCCAGCCAGGGCCGGCATAAATCTGCCGAGGGCTCCCGAGGGTATTTCCCGCCTTTTTTCCCTACACCCTTCCGCGCACCTCGTCGCTCACCTTCTCCTCCTATTCCACGCTTTCGCGCCCTTCTTCTCGTATCCTGAACCAGACGCGAGATGAATCCCAGGGTTCTATTCCCGCGTGGTTTATCTCAAGGCAAACATCGGCCCGTCGTCGAGGTAGGCGAAAGTCGACGACGATTACAAATTTACAATCTACATTTACGGGCAACCAGCGCCGCACTGCTTTCTTTTATATTGATTTAGCCGTTTAGAATCCTTTTTTTCTCTCGCGATGTTTGGTTGCGTTTATGTTGAATCATATTTTATTTTATGATATTCGCCTATCGTATTCTAAAATTGAAATGCGAAATTAATATACAAATAAAAATGATTCAGATTTTGACATATTATGTCTTTCAGAGAATAATTTTGTTACAAGATCTCTTGTTATCATGAGGCTTGTACGTGTATCTATATTAGTGTTCGCTACTTAATACGGTTAATTTGCGAAATGATAACCAGATATGTATTACGAGATATTGATTTCGATGGATCAATATATAACATACGTAACTCTCGTTACATCAAGCTCGAAGTATGAGATTGATTATGAATTTGCACTAAACATGCAAATCCATTTATATAAACCGGTATATAAGCCTATAATTTTGTTAGTATAAATATTAATGAGATATGCATGATTGAAACTCGTTGGATTCGTACAACAAGTCACTTTGAGTTGAATCGATTTAATTATATTAATGTTTCATTTTTACTTTAAATATATATTGCAAGTATTTTAATACTAAAGAAGCGCACGTTTAAAAAAAATATCCTGCAATTTTTCTAATAATATGTGCTCTGTATATTTACCTCATTCGCTCTTGACATAATATTGAAAATATTCGATCCTTTTATCCAAAACCAGACGCGAGATAAATCCCACGATTATACTGCCGCATGGCAAATCCAAATGTAAACATTGGTTCGCACGGACGTGAGTGACGAGGATGAAAGATAATGGTGGTTACAATGTTTACACATTCACTAACCCAAGCACAAGTCATGTGTTATCATTTTAATTAAAATGTAATTTAAGTAATTGCTAGAAGAGATATTTATGTTCTCTACTGAATGAGAAACGAGACTATGTTGAATGAAATTTGCGTAATAATCACTCTACAAATATCCACTTGTTATTATGAAATTACATGTAATAAATTTTAATTACAAGTATTTTGTATTCATATGCACACGGCATGATTTATAAATAATCTTATCATAAACCGTAACAGTAAAAATGGCGCATTTAAATTTCTATGTTTATCAAATTCTCACAATTAGTGCAAAATACTATTTTATTATTCTATAATATTAAAATATAGATTATGAGTAAATGCTGTTGTCTGGTTTTGGTTACATATCTTACCGTTTATTTATGTTTAGAAGCTTCGATCTAAACTACTTCGAAGTTGAGACAAATAGAATTGAATTCCTCCGAGGATTATGTCAGGATAAAGATAGATAGAGAAATATACGGGAATAACAATTCACTCATTTATA